CTTCAATTCCTGGGTGTAGAAACTGAGATCATGGAAGGTGAATGGGTTTTCCTAGAGTTATGAAGCCTGTCGTTGTAAATCTAGAATCACAACCCCAAGCCAGTGTCCATCCATCATGACTGATCCTTTCATTTGCTTGTATTTTCAATAACAACCCGCAGAAAAATAACACCTGCACTATGGGAATTAGCTGGTTTATACAAGTTACTGTTTGGAATCTGACATATATTGTCTAATAGAAACAAAGGTGGTGGTACATGATGGTAGTTTTCCCAGCCCTGCCTCAGAGACTGTTAGTACTCACATTCCATAACTCTGGGAATGATTGGCCCCCTTTTAATGGGGGTTAATGATTGCATAACGAAGACAAATGACCGACCAATAGCTCAGTCTGGCCTCCCAATGCAGGGTGAGGTTCTGTCCTACAGGTCTGATTACTTTTCAGGTAGATATAGACCAGCCTTGCTGTCCAGCTGCACTGGGACAGAGCATAGCTGAGATCATTGCCATCTGAATGCTCTGGGGACGCATTTCAGTATACATTTTCTCGTATAGAAAGGAATAGTCATTGCAAAGCTTCAATGAGACCATAATCGGCTGTGGAGATGCTAGCTTATTGTGGATAAACACACTGTTCAGATGGAGGAAAAACTACTTTATTCTAATTGCTTCACATAATAAACCAGCGATTCAAATGAACAGACCAGGATAAATGTTTTGCTTGGTATAATCAAATCAGTTTACACGCTACAGAGCAAGTATTTCAGGCATAGGTGTTTGTGTATAACATTTATTTTGTTCAGACCCCTTGGAACTTTCACACCAAAATGACCTCCTACCGCAACTCTAAATAGTAATCAGGGATTACCTTTCTTACTAAGGTGGATTTTGTACATCTCCTGACTTGAAAATGTTTTCAAAGACAGTTAATCATCCATTCAGTTTTATACTTTATAGTCATTTCAAATTTTCATGCAAAATGTTGTTTACCAGCTGGATTGTCCTCTTCATTTATTAAACACATCTGTATATGTTTTTAGCTCTTCCCGCAAGTCAAATCAAGAAGTGCCGTCATTGACGAATTCATGGAGTGGGCATCAAATTCTGTAGCTGATTCTCAATTATAATCCTAAAAACCTTTTGTAAAATGGCAGTGTCACTGGCATTAAGATAAAAATTTCTCTAGTTATCTTTAATCTTGTCAGGGTCATGGGTCCCTGTGAAAATATGACGGAAGCTACCTCCTAGAAAAGTGAACATGACAATATATGTATATGTTTTACATATCGATTTATACCTTGAGAGTATATTCAGGGTTTAAGAACTTTTGTTGTAAGGAGACATTTTCGAAAGAGATAGCACCTATTTCGATTTACAGTTTAGATGTTTATTAAAAATGCAATAGTTTCATCACTTACCATCACATCTTCAGTCTATATTAAAATTGCCCTGCTTTTTAGAATTTCTGTTTTGTTTTTTAAAATTTTAATCTCTTTTAACTATTCTTTTAAACCTTTTTCAACTTTCTAAATCAGGAAGTTTTTTTTAATATAGGGAAGTATTTCTTTTTTATTCTTGTTAATCTTAAAAGATAATCTGTCTTGAGAACTTTGACTCAAACATTCTACTTAATATTTGCATTTGAAAAAATTTTCTAATAGAACATTGACCTTAAAGGTTTTGAAAGTCACAATCTACATATAAATTTCATGCCAATTCTCTGCTGTTAAAATAACATTGACCGAATCTCAGAATTAGGTGATAACTCCTTTATGTTTTTTGAACATTACCAAATGATAATTTTTAGAATTAAATAAAATATGAATCCAAGGGTGCTGCAAGAATTTAGTATATACAACTCCATTTTTCACAGTAGTTTATAGAACTTACATAGAAATAATAAGCTCTCTTAGTGACCATATATACTCGATATGTTTTCTTTCTTATTATGAATAATGATTTTATATACATATACAGTGCAACTTTCATCACCTCCTAGTCAGAAGAGCTCCACTGTCATTTCAAACCCACAACTAAGTCTAACATAATAGGATCTATGGTTTAAAACGTTCAGGACCATATCCAGCCTTGCCAAAATTCATGCGACTAGGGATTCAAAGAGCCCTTTGAAAAAAGAAACTTCAGTGGAAACAATTTCACAGCCACGTGGTCATGCATGGATGCTGTCATGAACTCATAGCTTTTATCCTGCTTTGTTGCTGTATGTGGAGGTGGGACCATTTCAAATACAAAACAAAAGTAACTTGTGGGTTTGGTGATGGGTCAGGTTGGTAGGAAACCCTTGCCATCACATAAAGATAAGTACTTGTGTCCACATGAATATACTCAAACATTATATTTCTAGGATATATAGTCTTTTGTAGATTTTATTTCTAAAATTAGGACACATTCTTAAATTAATAATGTGTTACAGTTCATTTGGTAGCATGTTTTTTTTTTCCTACCTACACAAAATAATAGTGAAAATAACAATTGATGGTGTCTTAGATTCAATGAAACATATTATGTATAGATTAGAGCACATAAGATCAGAAGTCACCTTAGCAGTGTTAAAACAACTCTCCAAGGAAATTGAAACTGAAGGGTCAATTAATTTTCTAGAGAGACAGATTTTGGTGATAGTCCAGAGATTAATTTTTCAAATACTTTCACCAATCTTATGTAAATCATTAGACCATAAACCCATAAACTCAATGTAAATCACTTCTTGAAAGATATTTCTTATGTAATATTTGATGCATGAAACATAATGTTTATGTTAATTATAAAGCATAATGAATTATTGTTGAGTGTAAATGAACACATTTTAACTACATGCAAAATCTTGGATAATCTTAAAACATTAATGTTGAGAGAAATGAGTATTGCCCAAGCCTACATTTCAAATGATGCCATTTTCTATAAATAAGTAAAATTTTCAAAATTAAAATTTGAGCCTGATTCGTATAGTACCTTTTTAAAATCATTGTTCACTTTCAGTGTTAAAGTGGGAAAAAGTATTCAAGGATTTTTTTTTTAAATCCACATGTTAGAGCCAAAATTAAAAAGGCATGTTTTAATGGGAATCGGTTTAAAACAATTTGACTAGAGTGAGAGAACAGTTTGGAAAATGTGTCTATGCTCAGTTTTGCTTCCAAATTTGGACTTTGAAACTTATTGTCAGTCTCAGAAAGAAATAAGAAGCTGTGCAGATAATTAAACATTTGCCTTGGGGGAATTATTTGCAGTTAATTAAAATCATACACTTCGGGTGTATACTTGCTTCACTGGTTATTAAATTTGAATCATATGTTAACTACCCAGGTTTCTCACTTGTCCATCAAATGTTGCTTGTGGCATGTTCAAAAAACAAACTTTCTCATAATATTCCAAACTGCATTGTTTAAAACGATCTCCTAGTGTGGGGAGGGAGAGAGGGAAAAGGAATAAGGAAACAAAGAAAGAAAGAATGATTTGAGACTCTGTCTGATTCAGTTCTGTTCAGAATTACAACTCAGTGGAGGCACGTGAACTCAATAGAGAACCCATTCGTAATAGGAGTCTCAGTCGGCCACCCCCAGTTTGCTCCATGGCCATATGCATACAAGATTACCTCATGGCTTTTAGATATCTTCAGATTACCACTCTTTTAGCTGCATGAAAAATATCCCTTAGGGGCGCCTGGTGGCTCAGTCGTTATGCTTCTGCCTTCGGCTGCCTTGGGCTCAGGTCATGATCCCAGGGTTCTGGGATCGAGCCCCGCACCGGGCTCCCTGCTCCGCAGGAAGCCTGCTTCTCCCCCTCCCACTCCCCCTGCTTGTGTTCCTGCTTTTGCTCTCTCTCTCTCTCTGTGTCAAATAAATAAATAAAATCTTTAAAAAAAAAAAAAAAGAAGAAGAAAAGAAAAATATCCCCTAGATTGTAACCTCTGTGAGGGCAGAGTCAATTACTATTGACTCCCCAGCCTCAAGAAGTGTCTGGCATAGAGCTGGCCCTTAATAAAAGCTTTTGGAACGAATGAAAGGCACATTTTCTGTCTTCACACTGACCCACCCACATGCTCTTTCCAATGGCTTTCTAAAGAGCCTACAGAGAGGCCTCAAACATCCAACAAGGAATCCTGTGTGGTCTTGTAAGAGTCCATAGTCACTGAAACCTATTTGGCCATGTTATTTCCTGCAAGTATATCATATAACAAAACAAAAACATGAGCTTATGCTGATTTCACATTTAAATATGCTATACAAGGGAGAGGATGAAATTGCACAGAACAGAATATTTGATTTCCCCTTTGCTATTGTTCTACTTGTAGTGTTCCTCAGGATGATGAACTTAATTACAACAGGATTTCAAAAAGCTTTACATCTGGCTTTTTCCAGGACTCAAGGCTCCCATATATGAACAAATGCAGTAATGGAAGCATTAAGAACATTAAAATTGATATTCCTTTAATCTCCTCTATTTTGCCTTCCTTTCATATCCTTTTGCACAATTCTCCAAAGACTTTCACTAATGCATAAAGTCTGCTTATATTTTCTTCTTTGTTGCAAAAAGATGACTCAAACAAATTTCTATCCTCTAACGAGGATAAACTTTGTACAAGACCTTCTGTAGTACTTTAGGAATAACTTATTTGTTGATGAAAATATTTAAGTATTCTGGGACACCTGGGTGGCTCAGTCGATTAAGCGTCTGCCTTCGGCTCAGGTCATGATCCCAGGGTCCTGGGATCGAGTCCCACATCGGGCTCCTTGCTTGGCAGGGAGCCTGCTTCTCCCTCTACCTGCTCTGCCTGCCGCTCCCCCTGCTTCTGCTCTCTCTCTCTGACAAAAAATAAATAAATAAAATCTTTAAAAAAATATATCCAAGTATTCTAAGGGTATTTTTTAAAAATAATAAATTCCATGCTCCAAAGATAGATATAGCATGACAGTGCTGGAAGCCGCTCTGTTTCCCAGTTAAAAATGCTGACTAGACGTTTTTCTTATTTGTTGTGGCAGATTCTGCAAAGGACAATATTACAAAAGACAATGAAGTGACAGATCATTCTGTGTGTGACCAAGATCATCCTAATGGTAAGTTGTGAGATCTTTTTTCATTTGTTTTTTCTGCTGAGAAACATTACATCTAAAAAAAACCAGATTTTAGTTTTTCTGGGAAAAAATGGAATCTGGTAATATTTTATTAGCTATGAATATCAAGTGATTGGTAGCTGCCAAGTTTAAAAGGGAAATTTGCTCTCCACAATCCTCATCACTTGCTATTCTTGTACCAGGCTGACTTTATTTATTTTTTTTAAAGATTTTATTTATTTATTTGAGAGAGAGAGAATGAGAGATAGAGAGCACAAGAGGGAAGAGTGTCAGAGGGAGAAGCAGACTTCCCGCTGAGCAGGGAGCCCGATGTGGGACTTGATCCCAGGACTCCGAGATCATGACCTGAGCCGAAGGCAGTCGCTTAACCAACTGAGCCACCCAGGCGCCTTGACTTTATTTATTTTTGTTACCTGCCTAAACTCTACAGGCATTGGGTTCGCAACTACAGAAATGAAGATATGATAACCATGAAAGAAATGTGACACATATAGACAATAGATCTAGGTGATTAAATCTACATAACCTGGGAATACCAAGAAGAGAGACTAGAACAAACAGGAATGAAACAATCTTTAGAAAAATAAGAGAAAAATAGTTTTCCTAATGTAAACCAGTTCCTCCACCCAAAACACAAGAGTACACGTATTTATAAACAAAGGCACTGAAAACTCAAATAGGAACAGAAATCTACAAAGCCTCATAGAATTTCTGAAGATCAGTGATAAAGAAAGGCTTATAAAGCATATAGGAAAATAAAAATCAGGTTATAAACAAAATCACCAAAATCAGATTAGCCTTAGCTTGCTTTCTTCTTCCATAATTCTAAATACTAGATGAAATGGAGTAACATTTCCATTGCTCTAAAGGACACAGTTTCTATATTTAGTGAAGTTATTACTCATGCATGAAATCAGGAGTAGTATTTTCTCAGGGATATATAGATTAAGAAAATATGCCACTCAAGTATCCCTCCTGAATAAACTAACAGAAATCCTGTGCAAAAACAATAAATATAGAAAGGAAGGAAAAAGTCAAGACTGAGAAAGGCACACTTGGAAAGTAGTATGTGATAAGAGACTCATTAAATGTATGAAAATGTTGAAATAATTGCTTCAAAATTTGTATCAGAATATCTTAATTCAATGTTTCCTTTTATCTCTGAAAATTATAGTATATGTTGTTTTAAAATGAGAAAGAAAAAGGGAGAGACTTCTGCTTTCAGGAATGAAAGTCTAAATAACTTAGACCATTACTCTCCTTGAAGATAACTAGAAAAACTACACCAAAAACAAAAACAAAAAATTATGGAGTCTGTTTAAAGGCATCAGAGAGCTTACAAGATAGTGAAGAATTGTCAGGCTAGGTTCTGGGAGAAAATAGATATCCAGAGATGTGAATTCAGAACTTGAAGTTGTTTTTATCTTAAGTCATTTGCTGATTCTACCAAAGGTATCCAGAGTCCCATTGCTGAAAATGGCAAGGGACCATGGTAAACCCCCTGCTTTTTGCATCGAAACCTTAAAGATATGCATCCTACCAGAAAGAATGAACCAGTTTTCTGAAAGACTGCTGCCCAGCTCTGAATCATCTCAATCCTCAAATTAAATTAAGATCAACCCAGATTGCTAGTCCCTACTGGCACCTGAGAAAAACAAATGTAAAACATTTACTAGATTAAAAAAGAGTGTTGTAGGTTTCAAACCATTTACAAAAACGAGTTTTTAAACTTAATTTCCAGCATGTCCAACACACACAGAAAAAAAGCCAGAAAAAATGAAACAAAGTAACATAAAAAATAGTCAAGAGAAACAGGCCATTTGGGCTGAAAATATTAGAGTTATAAACAAAGTATAAAATAATTTTGCTGACTGTTATAGGGAGATAAAGTCGAGATTGAAAAATTTAGCTGAGCACTAGAAATTCAAAACAAAATAACACAAAAGAAAAAAGAAAAGAAAGGGCCTCCTGGGTGGCTCAGTCAGTTAAGTGTCTGCCTTTGTTTCAGGTCATGATCTCAGGGTCCTGGGATCTAGCCCTATGTCAGGCTCCCTGCTCAGCAGAGAGTCTGCTTCTCCCTCTCCCTCTGCCCCTCCCCACACACTCATGCTGTCTCTCTTTCTCTCAAATAAATAAATAAAATCTCAAAAAAGAAAAAAAAAGAAAAGAAAATCTAGAAGTGAAAGATGCCATAACTGAAATGAAGAATTCAGTGAATAGATTCATGGTTTGACTGCATATTAGACACAGATGAAAGAGAATTTGTGCACTAGAAGTTAGGTAGTAAGAACATATCCAAAATAAAAATAGTAGAGAAAAAAAAAAAAAGGATGCAAACACTAAAGAAAGGGAACAAATATAGAGGATAAAATTTATAAAGTCTATCACAGATATAGTTGGAGTCCCAGACAGAAAAGAGAGAGGGAATTGGGCAAAAACAATATTTCAGGAAATTATGCTGAGAAATATCCTACATTGATGAAGGATATCAGGCCACATGTTCCAAAAGCCCGTTGCACTCCAACAAAATAAATGCACAAGTAGGCCCATCATTGCACAACTGCTGAAAGTCAAAGATAAACAGAACATCTAAAAAGCAATATTTAAACAAACAGACTGATAGCTGACTTTTAATATATACAATGGAAATAATAAGACAATATAGCAGAATAGCTGCCAACCAAGAATTCTAAACTCAAGGAAAATGTGTGTTTCAAGAATAAGTTAATCAAGTATATTTCTGGCCAAGAAAAAGAAAAGTTCACCAACAGAGAATTTTGGTGGTCTTCAGGTAGGAGGGTATTGATCCCAGATAGGACAAAGATGAAGGAAAAGAATCAAAAGCAAGGTAAATGGTAATTTTTCAGTAAGTCTAAATGAATACTGATGATACCAATTCTTAACAAGAAGCAGGAAACTATGACCTATAAGAGAAGAGAAATCAGTTAATATAAATCAATTCAGAAATGGTACAGATAGTGTAATTAATATGAAAGGCCATATTAAAAGTTATAACTTTATTCCATATTTTCTGAAAGCTAAAAGAGAGATTGTCCATGTTAATTAGAGACATTAAAGATATAAAATGACCCAAATTGAATTTCTAGAGGTGAAAAACAGAATGTCTGAGATGAAAATTACACTTGATGGGCATAATGGCAGATTAGTCACTGCAGAAGAAAAGATTGGTGAATTTGAAGGTGTAGCAATAGAAACCATCCAAATTGAAACACAGAGAGAATAGATTGAAAATAATGAAAAGATCACCAGTGAGCTATGGAAGAACTTTAAAGGTAACTCAAAGTCCAATATACATAAATTGAAATCTCTGAAAGCAACGCATGGTAAGGCAAGACAGAAAAAATATTTGATGAAAACTGTGAACCCATATATCCAAGAAGTTCTATGACCCTAAAGCACAAGAAACATAAATGAAATTATAACTAAGCACATCATTATCAACTTGCTCAACACCAGTGATAAACAGAAAAATTTCAAAAACAATCAGAGGGAAAAGACAAGGTACATACAGAGGAATAGATATGGAGAGGAAGCAGAAGTCTCATTGGAAACTACAAACTAAAATTACAGGCTCAAACATGGATGACTCTCACAAGCATAACATTAAATTAAAGAAAGTACAGAAGCATATATATTGTACAGTCTCATTTATATCAAGTTTGAAAAGCATAAAAAGATAATGATACTATTTAGAAAGAAATGACTAAGTTGGGATAATGATAAAGAAAATCTAGGTAGTGATTACTCTGAGTTAAGGTGCTGATTAGATTTTGGTGATTAGGGATGAGGTTCTGATTGGCCCATGAGCTGGGCTTCTGGACTGGATAGATATCTAGTTTTTATAACTATAAGGATATATAGTTTCTCTATTTGCTTTTGGTTATTTAACTGAACTTTCTATATTGTTTGTGTACTTTCCTATATTTTGTTGCATTTTTAGAGAATAGTTAAAAGAGGAAGGAAGAAAGGGAGAAAAAGAGGGAGAGAAAAGGAAGGAAGTATCAATGTCAGAGTTTATAAAGCAAAGATTATGGTGGGGAGAAGGGAGAGTTGCACAAAATGCTGATTTCAGTAAAGGTAGTCAAAAACTGAAAATCCTGCTCTGCTATAGATTCTGACAATATAAGTTAGGGTAAAGAATACCTTTGAAAAAAATTGGTGATAATAACAAATAGAATTAAATCACAATAAAATTAAAGGAAGAGATCTTACTCTTTCAATTTCCTGGTATGTTTCATACCACACATGAGTATATTCAATAATGCAAATAAAAAAATAAGTAGCAGTGTAACAAAAGCACAATATATCAAATAAGATAACAGAAACACAGGCAAGTAGTTATGACAGGAAATGTAATTAGGTTAATTTATTAAGTGTAAAAGTCAGTTGGGTTGAATTAATTTTAAAAAAATAGGGGCACCTAGGTGGCTCAGTCGGTTAAGCCTTTAGCTCAGGTCATGATCTCAGGGCCCTGGGATTGAAACCTGCATCAGGCTCCCTGCTCAGCAGGGAGTCTGTTTCTCTCTCTCCCTCTGCCTCTCCCTCCTGGCTTATGTTCTCTCTCTCTCGATTAGTCACTTTCTCTCTCAAATAAATAAATAAAATATTTTTAAAAAAGAGTAAATTTTTGAAAAATATAAAGTCAGGGGGTGCCTGGGTGATTCAGTCGGTTAGGCATCTGCCTTTGGCTCAGGTCATGATCCCAGGTTCCTGGCATCGAGTCCTGCATTGGGCTCCCTGCTCAGCGGGAAGCCTGCTTCTCCCTCTCCCTCTGCTGCTCCCCCTGCTTGTGCACTCTGTCTGTCAAAGAAATAAATCAAATCTTTAAAATAAACAAACAAATAAATAAATAAAAATAAAAAAATATAAAGTCAGGAAAGGTATATTTGGGAAATGAGCATCAAAAGAAAACATGAGAAACTACTTAAGGATCTATCCAGTTAGAATTCTAGCAAAAAGTC